AATCTGCAAAAATGTCAACAATTCTGTGTTTTTCTGTCAATATGGGGTGCTGTGTGTACATTAATGAGGAAAAAAAATTAACTTAAATGATTTTAGCAAATAGCTGCAATATAACAAAGAGTGAAAAATAGAAGGGGGTCTGAATATACATATATACATATATATATATATACACACACATACATATATATATATATATATATTTTTTTTTTACTTTATTTAGTTTTTTAATATGACATTTGTTTTTCCAGAACAAAGGTCCAAAAAGAAAACGATAGTACGGTATACTAGTAGTTACAAATAAACATCTCTGATGCACAAAATAAAGGAGTTCCAAACAGATAACATCGATAACATCAACAGGGTGTGAGGAAAAAATACAAAAAGTAAATAAGTAAATACAAAAAAATACTACAATAACAAGATAATAATATTCAGGTAAATAAATTTAAGAGTTACAAAGGTATAATGCAGTATAAAAACCAGCGTAAATAAATAAAGTTATCACATTCCTAAGTGATCTAATACAGGCTTCCATATTTTCCAAAATATATCTAGCTTATCATTGTTAATAAATCGTAACTTCTCAATATACATAATTGTACCATGATATGCAACTGCAATCATGTCCATCCCCGGACTGGGCAAATGTCTACTGTCCACTGAATTTGATTAATTGATTGTGAAATGACTGTTTATGATTATGTGAATTCAATTCAATTCAAGTTTATTTGTATAGCGCTTTTTACGATACAAATCGTGCAAAGCTATGCCTGGCCAAAGAGATGTGTTTAATCTAGATTTAAACAGAGAGAGTGTGTCTGTACCCCGAACGTTATAAGGAAGGCTATTCCAGAGTTTGGGAGCCAAATGCGATTATCCAAACTGTTATCAAAAAGTAGCCTTCCCATTACGAGGTGATATTTGACTCCTCTAACTTTATTAAAAGTATGTCATCTTTCCGTATTTTCTAATAATATTACCAAGGGGCAACATGTATATTGAAAATAGCAGAGGACCTAGGACAGATCCTTGTGGCACTCCATATTTTACTGGTGATAATTGAGATGACTACCCATTTAAATAAACAAAGTGGTAGCGATCGGACAGGTAGGATCTAAACCATCTTAAATCCTGCCCTTGAACACCTGTATAGTTTTGTAATCGATCTATGAGTATGTCATGATCTATGGTGTCGAACACAGCACTAAGATCAAGTAAAACTAGCAATGAGATGCAGCCTTGGTCTGATGCATTTGTATTTTCATTTGTAATTTTAACAAGTGCAGTTTCTGTGCTATGGTGGGGCCTGAAACCTGACTGAAATTCTTCATAGAAATCTTTTTTTTTATTTTATCGACTGTCTATTGTGTTACTGATTTTGTACAGTGTCCTTGAGCTTGGGAAAGGCGCTATATAAAGTAAACATATTATTATTATTAGTTAAGCGTAAATTGTTGTAATATGCTTATGACTCGCGAATGTCATGCTCAGTTAACTGAAATAAACCAGGCTTGATGACGTATGTAGCCTGCAAATGCGACCTCGGAGGATTCAGCCTTCCATTTGAGAAACGGCCAAAGTCAAAGTCAGCAAAGTCAGAAATGTCCACTTTTGCCTCATTCTCAGTGAATATGAGTGTCTTTATGAATGGATGACTGAACCATTAGCTCACTCGATTTGTTCAAAAACAGATTCATTCAGGAACGAAATATCACAGGCCACAAATTTGTTTTGGAAAAACAATTTTGGAACTATTTTCGATGGCAAAAGAGAAAAAAAGACTTTCCATGTGGACAATTCTGTTTCTAAAATGTAACTCACTCAATATTAACTTTGAGTTTTGATTAAAAGTTTGTTGAATTGTTATGTATATCTTACTTAGCCGCGCACCTTTTCAGTGCTGCACTTGTCTTCCGCATTGTTTTTTTTACAGTGTGAAGGTAAAGTCATACGAATTTCT